GCCGATCAGATTTCTCTGAAATGTCTTCTTATTAAAGCTATATAGAAGTTATTCAGTGATTTTCTGTTTTTATTTTAATATTTGGATCACATAACAGCATAGACATCAATAGGTACTACATATTACGCTGCTGTCACTTCATACACAGATCTAATATAAACATGCAATTTCTTTCCCAGCTGTTTACCTTCACAGACATAACTGACTGTTTTTGTAGCATGTTTTTAACATGACCTTGTGTGTATTTGACAGTTTAAGCGCAATAAGACATGAAAGAGAACTTAGTTTAGTACTCACTTGCCATGTGACAGCGCTTTCTGTGTGTGTGCTTCAGATGTGTGCGCTCAGAAAACACTGTATCAGAAGTTTAAACTGATATGGCTTTAAAACGCATGATTTCAGCGCCATATACACGATAATCAAAACCAAACAGATGTTTTTTTATCAGAGTATCTGAGGTATGAGCTGTAAAGGTACAGCCCTATTCTGGAAAAGGGGATGGGGAGCAGCAGCTCATTTGCATTTAAAGATACAGGCACGAAAACAAAGGGACATAATAGGTGCCCTTTTAGATTCCATCCAGTCTGAGGATATCAAACATGTTTGATATTTTGAGCTGATTTAGGCCATGACTGGGGGCAGTTGTGGCCTAATGGTTAGAGAGTCGGACTTGTAACCCAAAGGTCATGGGTATGAGTCTCGGTATCGGCAGGGATTGTGGGGGGGAGTGAATGACCTCAATACCATCATTACCTCAATACCACTACTGAGGTGAGACCCTTGAGCAAGACACCAAACCCCCAGCTGCTCCCTGGGCGCTGCAGCAAAAATGGCTGCCCACTGCTCCGGGTGTGTGTGTGTTCACTACTCACTGCTGTCTGTGCACTTGGATGGGTTAAATGCAGAGCATAAATTCCACATGTCACATTTTAGAACACTTGTTGCTTTTTGTTGTCATGTGTCATGATTTGCAGGTTTGTATTGGGTTTGTGTGGCTTACATTGTTTACTTGCAATTTTACCAGACAAATTTCTCCATTTCATAAAAAGGGACATCAGATGCCCATTTGCCCATAAATGTTTGTAACATACTTTGGTTAAAATTCCTCAATGGTTGTATAAAACAACACTGAGGAATTGTCAAAAACAGCTCTGTTCACAGCAACTTGGTTCGGTGCATGTCTCTTTAAATGATAAAGAGCTACTGCTCCCACCACCCTTCTCTTCCGTGGGCAGTGTCCACACGAAACATGTGAGTTGCAGCCTTGTACTCCATAAATGGCTTGGAGGTGGTCTTATTCAAATAGCTACCAAATAGTTAAAAAAGTGAAAATTTAATCCGATGTCCCCTTTAACGCAGGATAAGCAGTCTGCCACTAGGGGCAACAGTGTATGGAGCACTTTGAAATCTACCAACCATTGCTTATCCATGTGTTTTGTCTCCTAGCAATGAGGCGGATGTTTCTTTGAGTTTGTGTTCAGAACGACTTAAAGGTCTGGTAGTGTGTGATCCTCATTCCTTTAGTTTGCGATGCCCAGTTTTTCTCTGTAACTATTTACAAAGTCTGCAAGTGTTTGATGCCTAGTGTTGTAAAATCTGCTCAAATTATGAAGGTTGTGTATGTTTTCCAGGCTGTAAATGATCTTCAGACCAGGCCTCTGTAATATTATCCCTTAGATATATAATTGAAAAAAAAATTAAACTGGGTTCAAGATTGTAGATTCTACCCGACCTAAAAAGCCTCGGCATCCGGCTAAAAAGCTCTATGACCAGAGGCTTATTAAAACGTGGATAAATCAACTTACAGTGTCAAATTTCATTGTCTTTGTCAATTGCATTTTTTCATGTTACGTGTCCTCAATATGGCAACCCATAGGAACGTTGAGTCTGGGGAGGAGGGGGACGGAAAAACAACACTCTCCAAATTTTTGAATTTAGACTGCAGTACCCATTTCAACTGCTAACTGTCAAAATTACATACCGCACCTTTAACATTTCTGCATTGCAATGAATTTATACATTTTATCAATTCATGCATTCATGCAAAACCATGACCTTGGCGTTGCGAGCACCATGCTCTACTGTTTGAGCTACAGGAATTAATGCAAAACCTTTGAACTGCTCTGCCTAAAATCATTATTTTGGAATCTTTAGATTTTTCAAACATGCTTGTTTTGCTTGGCATGCTGCAGCTGATGTGCTTGATCCCCTAATTGACTATATTATGGTTAGGAAATATTATATTGTCAGTTAAATTATTGAATTCCTAGGAGACCATTAAAAATTAAGATTCAGCTTCTTCATAAGCGGTACTCGAAGCTCAGTGTACATTTGCAATTAAAGTGGACAAAGACAATACAGTCCACTGCCTCCCACTGAGAATATTGTGTTCAGTTAAACATGACATTTAAATATTAGTTTGCCTGGTTTATATTGGGTTTGTGTGGCTTGTATATATTAGTTTGCAGTTTTAGCAAATACACAGATTTAAATCCATTATGTTTATTTTTTTAACCACCTCCAAACCTCAGGCCACTTCATGTACATGTGTAGCCCTATACATTTCATATTTTACATCTTTCAAAACACAAGGACCTAGGTTTACATTTGATTTCTTTCACAATTGCAGTCTAAGATTCATTTTAGTCATATATAGTCGTATAAAAACATAGACAATTTGCCCCATTTCATACTGTAGGACAAGCTGTCTGCCACTAGGGGCAACAGTGTGCAAAGCTGTTTGAAATGTACCAACCATTACATAGACCATGTGTTTTTGCTTTACATTTCATGTCCTGCTTTGTAACCCTAACTAGTCTGATGATTATATCTAGCTTTGTATCTGTCATAGATCTCATGTTTTTGATTACAGAGCTCTTTTTTCCATCTCCTCTAATTTGATCCATGTCTAAACAGATGATCAGCTCACCATAGTGCCACACCAGTGTTGTTATTGTTAATGAAAAATATTAAAAATTAATTTGTTAGAGGAAGCAGGAAACAAAATGATTTGGAATAAAGCTAAAACAAAATATTCATATTAAATGAAAAACTTAAAAAAAAAAACTAAGAAATGTTGTCTTGGCAACAACTCGGTAACACTTTCTATGAAGCCTGTATTTATAATACATTATAAGGGTATTCTTAAGGCATTATAATGAATGCATAATGCATTATAAAAAACCTTATAATATGTTGTATCATCTCATGAATATTCATAAGAACAGTTTTAATATATTATAATATTTACTTATTTGTGGTTATAGCTTTTAAGAGTATGATGATTTATAACACAATGAACACATTGCATCCACTTTTACAATGGATTATATTTCTCATAGTTATAATGTATTATAAGTCTCATATCTTGCCATTTTTCTTATGCTACTTTACTTAAAGCGGTCAAAGACCACTTATAAGTAGTAATAATAATAATTAAATGTTTTTTTATCTCAAACAGCCGTAAGATCAGATCTCAGATCAGATGAATGTGTAATATGACACATTTGCTTTGAACTATTTTTATTGTAATATCAGTTTGATTATTGGTAAAGTCTAAATTGAAGTAGCCTACTAAAATCACTAAAACAAAAGCTGAAATAAAACAAATCAAAATATTATGAAATAAATGAGTAAATATATGTAAAAACTAAAAATGACAAAAATAACATGACCACTAAAAATTTAATTAAAATGACTACATACATATATATACAGTGGGTACGGAAAGTATTCAGACCCCCTTAAATTTTTCACTCTTTGTTATGTGTTCTATGCTTATTTTTCCCGCTATATATATATATATATATATATATATATATATATATATATATATGTGCTTGAAACAAGATGTTACCATACTGCTCTTACTATTTCTGTGCTATATATAGAGAAATAGTAAAAGTATGTAAGAATAATATCCTGCTTATGGAAGTGTTATAAGCAATTCAAATCAAATAATTTTCTTGCACTGTAATTATAAGAATTAACCTTTCCTTAGTAACATTCTCATTATCTCCTATTGACTCCAGGTCTCTCATTTTATGCTATGCTGGCCGGCTTGTACTTATGACGAGAGGAAAATTGACAGGGAAAATGACAAGTGGCTTCAAGCTAGAGGATGCAGGTTTGTAAATAGAGAACTATCATTTTTCGCAGTGTGCTGCGGAACAGACCCTCAGTGAGCGGAGGAAACATGATCAAGGCAAACACCGGCCCACCGGCGCTCCGGATTGGGTTCTGTGCTCTCCACTGGTGGCAGGGAGGTATGATAACAGCTTCGTCCTGATCCCTATCGCTCCTGCTCTCCTCTATAATGGCGGTACAACAGATTTGTTGTCTGTACTGCGGTGGTATAGATAACAAACGACTGCAGTGTGTTTGTTGGTGGTCCAAGTCCGGTTCTTGACTGGTCCCTGGGCACATGCTAACCTACACTGCCCTAATAGTGGTAGAGAAATCTACCTGCCTTAAATGACTAATGGAGTTTAGATCAAAAATAGAAAATGCATGTGGCAGCCTAAAATCACATGACTAAAATATGGTCCATGGTCAATGTAACAGTTAAATTTGGGCTTGTTCCTCACAAAAATCTATTGTATGGATGTTCAGAAGAATTGCAATGTAGTGCATGTGTCTTGGGCTAGTGTTATTGTGTTTTACTTTGTCTTTTGTCTTTACTTTTTGGAGCTTGGCATCATAAATAACCATAAACAGTTGTTGTGGCAAAGAAAGCTGCCTAAGTTTTCCATTCTCCTCTGAGCAAATAATATGGAACAACATAAGAGTGAGTAAAGGGTGGCACAAATGTTATTTACAGTTAAACTATTTCTTTAAAAACTCAATGTATTTGAAGACAAAGTTTGTTGAATAAGTATTTTTAAATAATTTTTATTCAACAAAGAGTCTTGAGAAAATGCATCACTGTTTCCACATATTAAGCAAGACAACATATTAACATTTAAGGATAATGTGACACTGAAGACTGGAGTAATGACTGCTGAAAATTCAGCTTTGCATCACATATTTTAAATTACATTTTAAAATATTTCTAAATAGAAAACAGTTATTTTAAATTGTAATAATATTTCACAATAATACTGTTTTTACTGTATTTTTGATTAAATCAATGCAGCCTTGGTGAGCATAAGAGACTTATTTTAAAAACATGAACACATTTTTCTTACCCCAAACTTTTCAACAATAGCGAACATTTAAAACCAGGTCACACACAGAAGTTATTTCGTTCAGAATCACAATATTTACACCCCGTAATGCCTTGTTTGCAGACTAGCCGTGATTCCACAGATTGCTTCTAAACTTGGCATGATGTGCACTGTAAAAATGCTGAAATTTGATTTGATAAGAATTAGATTTATCCAGCTTATTGAATTCAAAGAAATGTGAATTCCTTAGACACACCACCACAAAACACATTCCCTAACATGTAGCCCAAACTAGTTGCTTTGAGCAATTTTGATGATTTCCTAAGAGCGCTCCTGGCATACATTGCAGCATGAATAAATTATGCAGTTACTGTTATTGTCAGACTCTGTTCCTTGTTTTGTGTGTGTTTTGCTCCCCATGTGCCTTCCTTGCCCTTATTTGGTCTTTCCTGTTTCCTGTTCCAATTATGTTTATTGATCCCAGGTGTTTCTCGTCATCCCCTCGTCATGTCCTGTATTTTAAGTACTCCAGCCCGCCGGCGGTTCCTCAGTCAAGCCCACCGACTGCGCCTTTCACCCCGAATCTAAAGGGGAATCTAAGGAGGAGAAGGTGCTTCAGTGTCTGCTCCATCCCCAGAGCTCGCACCAGTGTCGGCTCCAGCCCCAGAGCTCGCTCCAGTGTCGGCTCCAGCCCCAGAGCTCGCTCCAGTGTCGGCTCCAGCCCCTGAGTCCACTCCAGTGTCAGCTCCATCCCCTGAGTTTGCTCCAGTGCCAGCTCCACGAAAGCGCTTTGCTGTGCCTGCTCCTCCAGAGTGGGCTCCTGTCCCCGAGGGCTCCTGTCCCCGAGTTTGGCCCGGTGAGGGCTCCTGTCCCCGAGTTCCACAGTATCCACAGCCATATCACCCTGCAGCCCAAGACTGGTTGCCCACTGAAGCTAAGCAGGGTTGAGCCTAGTCAGTACCTGGATGGGAGACCTGGGAAAACTAGGTTGCTGCTGGAAGAGGTGTTAGTGAGACCAGCAGGGGGTGCTCACCCTGGGGTCTGTGTGGGTCCTAATGCCCCAGTATAGTGACGGGGAAAAGCACCCTCCTTCGGATGAGACATTAAACCGAGGTCCTGACTCTCTGTTGTCACTAAAAATCCCATGGCACTTCTCGTTAAGAATAGGGGTGTATCCCCGGTGTCCTAGCCAAATTCCCTCCACTGGCCCTTGTCAATCATGGTCTCCTAATAATCCCCATCCACTGAATTGGATCTATCTCTCTCTCCATTCCACCTGTAGCTGGTGTGTGGTGAGCACACTGGTGCCGTTGTCCTGTGGCTGCCGTCACATCATCCAGGTGGATGCTGCACACTGTCTTTCGGATGAGATGTTAAGCCGAGGTCCTGACTCCTGACAGCAATCTCAATGCGTCATGTTGATTTTTCCCCAACTGGTATTTTACAATGTGATGAATATTTTGATGCAGAAGTGAGCTGAAAGTCTTTATGAAACTGCCATAAATCACATCAAAGGTTATTTACTAAATTGATGAACTTTTGCTCACGAATAGCATATATTCCCAGAGTTCTCCAATGTTCTCCATGACATTTACATGTTTTTTTTTTTTTGCTGGAGTCCCAACTGGGCTCTGACTTGCACCTATCTGCAGCGGCAGCAGCTTGTCAACGTCACAGCTGAGCAGAACACAGAGGCCTAACGGAGCTCTGCTCCATGTCCTAACACTGTCTGTCCCTCCACCGAATGTGCCCGGCATATTCATTATTCAGTAGCCACAGCCACGCTCCGACAGCTCCACTAAAATGATTACCCTGACTCCTCAACTGGACTATTAATTTGAAAAACCTCTGCGAGGAATTCCTGTTAGCGTTATTGAAATCTGTCGGCATAGCTACTTCCTTGCAATCTCCGCTGTTAACTGTTAGCCTCTCTCCCTCCGGGGCAGTAAGTGGCTCTCTAGACCCGTATTGGATTCTTATTCCAGGTCGACTGAGTATAAACCCAACATATTTTATTCCCAGTGAATTTAGAGGTGTTATAATCTGCGAGCGTGATCATCTCTAATATACAGCATGATGAGATCCTATTTCCTTATATTTTCACAGCATGTTGTTTATTTGTTAATATTATCTTTTGCTTTAACATCAATTTGGTTCCTCTAGGGTTGTATTTGTCCTGTAAACAGTGTCTAAAAGCCTTTAGGTGCATATGTTTCAGTTTATTTGTCACTTAAAAAAGAATCATTACCACATTTCATAACATTGCACAGGAGCGCCGCTCAGAAAATGTTGCTGAATTCAGTCTCTCTTGTACCAATAATAAAAGCAAATTGTATTTTTTATGAATTACACAATATAACTGTAATAATATAATATAATTACACGAAAAGAGCTTATGGGTGAATCTCATAAAACATGACAAGAACATGGTCCAGGTCATATTTCATGCTTAAATCTTCTTTATAACAAGAATAAAAAAGAATACAAATAAATTCTTCTATTTTGCACAAAGACAACAAAGCTTATTTTTTTAGGATTATCACATTTGTAAAGAAATTTGAAATAATTTTCATAATTAAAATGTTATATTTTAAGTCACTCTATTTTAATCAAATAATAAACAATATGATAAATATCATTCTGTATGAATGCTTTACATCTTAAATAATATAAATAATAAAATTAACATTTTTGTGTATTACAATAATGGGATTTTTTTTCATTATAGACACAAATTTGACAAAAATTATACTCCTAAAAATAATCTTTATTTTCTTTATGCAAAATATCATTTATTTCTTCAGTTTGATTTGAAGGATGTGGCCTGGACATATTCTTGACAGGTTTGATGAGATTTACCCTTACATGAAGAGAGATTAAACTCGCTCATCTCTTTCTCTCCCTTTATCTTCTGGTTGTCTCTCTCTTAAACCCATTTATCGCTCTCTTTTTATTCCCAGTGCGTTGTTAAAACAGGCCCACAGAACAAGCTATTGTTTGAAATGACCTCTGAGCATAATGAGAGCTCATATGCTAATGGTGCTTATCATTTCTGTTAGTACCCTGCAGACAGTTACAATTAAGTACACAGTCAATGCTGTTTCCATTACAGGGAATGTTACTGGTAATGCATAAACATTATGTAAATCCACACATAGTCATTCAGTTTGTCTCCCTTTCACGAATTTCAATCTAGGCTTCCATAATTACTGTTAATTTTGGAGTGTATATACAACTGATGTTGAGTTTATTTTCCAAAATGAAATGAATTTCTGGACAATTTTAAACTCGAAGCTACTTTAGGAATCAGAATTAGTTATTAACCCCTCTTAAGCACAATCCAAAAATGACATGACATAAAAAATGAAATGCCTGCAGCTCTTGAACCCTTTGGACTACAGGTACAATCCTCGTCTCCTTTGAAAGCAGATAGAAATTTTATTGTCACAGAGTTACTAGTAGTACATGAACAGTTTAGGAGAAGCTTGAATAGTCTGAATTTTATTTATTTATTTTATTTAACACAATGGAAGCTAAAAGGTAAAGATTGAAATCATTGCAGATCATTTTTATCATGTTGTGGCTGATATCCAAAAAATGGCTGGTATTAAAATTATATACTATTTTGTAAATAATTAAATAAATACATACATACATACATTTTTGCGTAAGTGTATTTAGGCATTATAATATACAATGCCTAAATACAAAATTATTACAGATAATTATTATCATGTTATGGCTGATATCTGATAAATGACTGTTATTAAAATTATATAAAATTTTGTCTTTTGAAATAAAATAAAATAAAGTACATTTTTTGTGAAAGTGTATTTAGGCGTTAAAATGTACTGAATGAAAAATATAAATATTACATTTGCTAAAGACTTAACATTTAATTTGTTGATAAATTACTGAACTACTTTAATCTTAACTGAAGGTGAGTGTTATTACAGTAAAGCTAATCTAAATGTAAACAAATGAGTATATCAATATACAATATCAATATCAGTATGAATTTAAAAAAATTCTAATAACAGCCAATATCTGATATGGTACCGATGTTTTGAATAACTAAGCATTATCATTGCATTCAAGCATTTCACTGCCTCTTTGAATTTAATCCCACATTGCAGTCAGGATAAAATTTGGATTGTTATATGTCCAATAGGTTTGACCCCCAGGTGCAAAGACCCCTATGATGCCTAGTTTCCCCCTTCTTCACTGTGTTTATCTATATGCTCTTGTCTTTTCCTCACTCTTTATCTGTTATTTAATATGTTTTCTAATCAGTCCTTGAGGATGTAATATTCTGTTCTGTGCCTCAGTGAGAAGATTGAATTGCATTATGATTTGATTGTTTTTTCTTCTAAGTAGGCAGGATTTTGTTATTGAATAACCCTTATGCCAGCATATCAGTGGAACGAAGAAAGATTACACTGAATTTGTGTTATATTTCACTCACATTCTCTCTCCCTCTGACTGTTTATATCTGTATTGTTCCATCCATTTTAGTGTGCATGGGCTTTCCCCAAAAGGATAACTTGGAAACTTTGAGGTCCATTGAGCGGCCAGTGTTAGATAATCAATCAATGCAGCCCACGTCCCCCAAATGAGCGCTCTGGTGTCATTGATGTGGAACGACATGGTCTGAATTCACCATTAAGATTCCAGGGAGAAATGAGTTCATCTTCACTGGTGCTCATGCATACGAGAACATAACACTTAAAACATAACACCCGGATATTAATGAGGGACATACGACTCCCTTAATGGGAGACACTGCAGGCAAAAAAACAACCTGTCAAATTTGAGATTTTGGGCTTTTTGGTTTTTCTTAAAGTGTTTTTTCAGACTAGTGGAAAGAAAACATCCAAAAGACACTGTTAAGCGTTTCTTTTATAGCACTTTATCTATTTGTGTCAATAGATTTAAATTACAATGCATATTTTTAAAGGCCGTTTTCTCAAAATGAGTTTTTTCTCCAACACTGAGCCATAAATCTCCACTTCAGTAGCACTTCCACACACCAAACTTTACATTTTTATTCCTGTCTATATCCTGAAGGTTTTTACAGAGGGATTTGTTCATATATAATTTGCTTGATTATATACAACATTTTATTGACCCCAAAATTGTGAAAATATAGTGTTTTCTGTCCGTTCTAAGCATTTTCTGAATTATGGAGTGACAAAAATGAGATACCCAAAATTCATTTTGGGCTTTTTGGTTTTTCTTAAAGTGTTTTTTTCACACTAGTGGAAAGAAAACGTCCAAAAGACACTGTTAAGTGTTTCTTTTATAGCACTTTACCTATTTGTGTCAATAGCTTTCAGTTGCAATGCATATTTTTAAAGGCCGTTTTCTCAAAATGAGTTTTTTCTCCAACACTGAGCCATAAATCTCCACTTCAGTAGCACTTACACACACCAAACTTTACATTTTTATTCCTGTCCATATTCTGAAGGTTTTTACAGAGGGATTTGTTCATATATAATTTGCTTGATTATATACAACATTTTATTGACCCCAAAATTGTGAAAATATAGTGTTTTCTGTCCGTTCTAAGCATTTTCTGAATTATGGAGTGACAAAAATGAGACACCCAAAATTCCCTCTGTAAAAACTTTTGACTCTAATATGTCAAAAAAATTAAACAATAATTTTGAAACTGACATAATCCAGTGTTTAGATTTTTGTACTAGAAATGTATGCAAATTAGTGCATATTTAATTAAATAATGACTTATTTGCATATTTAAACCTAACATTTTAGAAAACTTGTAATACAAAAAAAGTTTGCAATTATCAATGTAATCAATCAGCTGGGTATGTAAGGTGATAACTATTAGTTTTTTTTTTTTTTACCCTATTCACCTGCAGTGTCTCGCCTTAAAGTGATAAAGATTCTCATAAAGTGATTATGCAGCACTTACTTATGCCCAAGCCCAGACATAATCTGCTGACTTTTATCACATTTATCACACTGATTTTAGGGGGAAATCATGTCAAACTGAGCTGAGAGCACTATACGCTTAGTGACAGCTGAAAGCATTATCAAAATATTGAATAATACTTCATGAACACTCTGGATGTGGAGTGAAAGTCTATTCAGTTCTGTGGAAATCTAGGGCACATGTTTCATCATATGATCAAGGTACTTGTGAACTTGCACTTGTGGACAGAGAAAATAAGATCCAGATATCTATATTATTTCTTGTCCACTATACAGAAACCAGGGCTATCGGGAGAATCCCTTTGTTTCTGATTTGAATGTTGTCTTTCTCCATCCTGGCTTTTGAATGTCTGTCTGTACGAGGCAGCTGGTTGTTCGGCTGGTGTCAGTTACTGTCTGTGTACTCAGTGAAAATGGTATTTGTACTGACTGCAAAAGAGAATATGGTGACTCAGTGTGGGGGGAAAATGGTTTGATGAAAATCATTTGATGAACCGAGTCCATGTTCCTCTTGTTTTAGAGTTTCGTTTTAGGTGAAATGCATGCTGAAGAAACAATCATTTTCAGCTTAATTTATCTTACATCCCAGTGTTTTGAAATATTCAGCTGTGCGCATAACAAACAAGAAACCACAATCCACATTTGTTCCGAAACAGATGCAGACAGATTTTAGTCAGTGTTGCCATGTCCTCTTATTATAAGCTGCTTTAAGTTTGTTTTCTCACTAAGTTGCTTATAAATATGGGTAGTTACAATATTTGAATGATTTATTTCCAGAATACAGTCTTATATCTTCTCTCCTTTGCACAATAAAGTGAGACCAACCACTGATTACAGCTATCAAATCTTCCCACCTGATATATTATGTCATTATTAATTGCTTTTCCTCCCACGTTTCTCCCAGTAACACACAATTTTGCACCTTTCCTTATAGGTGTATGCACACATTTGCACTTAAAGGGATAGTTAACCCAAAATGAAAATTCTGTCATCATTTACTCACCCTCAAGTTGATCCAAACCTGTATGAGTTAGTTTTTTTTTTTTTTTTTCTGAACACAAAAGAAGATATTTTGAAGAATGTGGGTAACAGTTGCTGGTCCCTATTGACTTCCACAGTATTTTTTTATACTTTGTAAATGATTGCAGATTTTTCATTTTTGGGTGAACTATACATTTAAAGGGGTCATATGATGCGATTTCAATTTTTCCTTTCTCTTTGAAGTGTTACAAGCTCTTGGTGCAGCTTCGTCATGCCTGGAGCTGATCCGTGCTGGTCGCTGAGGAAATACATCAACTTTGCGATGTGGATCGCCAGATCGGCTTTCACCGTAGACGAAGCAGAGTCCAGCCCGGAGTCGCCACATGTGGTTGCCGCAAGCCCGCCGGCCACGCCGTTCTCTATGTATCAATTGATTTAGATGGCAAGTTGTACAGTGTATGTGAAACGTTAATTTTGTAAAAAGGATATCATTATTCAGGATATCATTAGCAATTTAGATGAGTAATTATTTATTTTTTTTATAAAATTTCAAAAAGGTGGTTTTTGCAGCGATGCCATAGAAGAACCATTTTGGTTACACAGAGAATCTTTCAGCGAACAGTTCTTAAAAGAACCATTTTTTTTTCTTCGTCTGAAAAGCATTTTAATAAAATAAAGAACCCTTTTCCTCTGTAAATAACCTTGTGTGCATCGGAAAGCTTCCATAGATGTTAAAAGTTCCTCATGAAACCATCGATATCAATAAAGAACTTTCATTTTTAAAAGTGTTGAAAAGATACTACTTTGCAGCATGTTAAAATGTAGCCCTTTTTAATGCATTTTATTTTACATTTATTTATTACATTTTATTTTTTTATGAATAAATCTGATCAGTTATATCCCTTAATAAAATCCCTTAAAATCCTAATGGACTTATTTCACACTTATTTTTTTAAACCAGGTTGCTCTTTTTTCTTGCAAGATCCGGCAACGCAGATTTTAGAGGCTGTGAAGGAGAGACAATGCAGAAGTCGTGTCCTGTCCCTGAGAGGGACATGTTCGTGCTGCCTCTGCATCCCATAAGAGTTCCCTGCTCTGAATTATTGAGAGGAAGACCTGGGCAATCCATCACAAGAGAGGATGCATGAAGACGCCTGTCATAGCCGGTGGAAGGGGGTGGGGGACGTGTGAAGAGTCACCTCACGGCTCATCAACACGTTACTGAGAAACATCTTCACTCCCTTCTTTCGGCAGGGCCAGGAACCATCAAAATCAACCCCTCTGATTGAAATGACTCGATCTATTCAGGGACTCTCTATTGCTGGACCTCTTCACTAGGCGGGCCAGTGTTTGAAAAACAACATAATTCAAAGTATTTCAGTGCTTCTTTTAAGAAGTAATTAGTCACACTACAAGGTGCTAACAAAAAGTAGTCAATGACTTTGCAGCTATTGAAAGAGGACAACTCGTAATCAGCATATTGCACTGTTGAAAAAACATTGAGGGCTTTTAATGAATGAATCTTTGTTGGGGTGACGTTAATTGATGGACGTTAAGTGGATTATTGTGATGTTTTTATCAGCTGTTTGGACTCTCATTCTGACGGCACCCATTCACTGCAGAGGATCCATTGATGAGCAAGTGATGTAATGCTAAATTTCTCCAAATCTGTTTCAATGAAGAAACAAACTCATCTATATCTTGGATGGCCTGAGGATGAGTACATTTCCAGCATATTTTAATTTGGGGTGAACCATTCCTTGCAGTACAGTTTTGATTAAATAGCAACCATTTAGCATTTTGGTTGCTACATGTTTGAAAAAGTAGATTGTATATGAAAAAAGTTCAGCTTTAATGGCCAAATCTGTAGCTAAATGATTTGCTGCTTTTGAATTACTTGTTCTCCAGCACTGGGCAGCTCATTGTTTGCAAGCATTTGCATAACTGAAGGTTGTGTTTGATTTTTATTTTAAGGCAGATGAATCTGTACACTCAAATCAGACTTTCCATGGAAAAGATGCACCCACCCTTTCTGAAATTATTGTTTTCATACTTACAAATCTTCTCCAGATTATAGTTTTTGGGAATTGAGGATGAAGATTAATCTCAGCATTTCATTTATTTGTGGATTGCATGCATCATTTGATTGCGCTCATCCATCCTGGCAGAGCAAGCCCTGGACACAGTAAGGGAAAAGGTGTGTTATGGAAGAGTATGGCACAGCTTTGTAAAATCATGGACAGTAGATAAAACGAGAGGTGCATCATAAATAATGTGCCCATTTCTAGTCTTTCCATGTCTGCTTCTTCTATAAGATTTAAATTTGAAATAAACTGGAATGCAGGATGTAGAGCAAACAGTGTTCCATTATGGCACCAACCAGTCCATCATACCATTATTGGTCCATTATGCCATCAAACAGGATAATAACTGATAAAAACCCACATACACATTACTGCTGTCAGTGTATGGTAGGCAGATCCCATAGTGTTCCTGAACTCAGGTAAATACAAACTCTTATTTTGCTAGTTTCTACATACGCAGCTTCCATGATTTGGATCCAATGATTTGGAACATTCTGAATAGAAAACAATATCATGTGTCTTATAAAATAGGGCTCTGAACATGACGTTCACAGAATTACAATTTATTGTAGTAGAGTTTGGTGTTAGCATGTTGCTAAGCTAATAAAACAACACTTTAATACTGTAAGTAAAAATACTTTTCCACATACTTTTCCACATGATATTTTATAAATCATTCTAATATGCTGATTTGCTGCTCAAAAAACATTTCTTCTTATATCAATGATGAAACCAGTTGTGCTGCTTCATATTTTTGTGGAAACCTTTTTTTTTTCCAAGATTCTTTGATGACTCAAAAGTTTTCAAGCATTTTACTGAGCTTGTAGCAATGCCGTGTACAGGTGTCTTCTCCGCAAAAGACACATGCCTTAGAGTATGACCAAAAAATAATATCAAAGTTAATATTATAATCTTAAAATGTATGTAGATGGGTCAACTGATTTTCATAAAGAGCCACCATATTCTCACAATGGACTTTTTTTTTATCAATCTTTTGTCCTGCTGCAGATGAACTATGCAGACCTAATGGGAATAATGGGAGTTGAAATGTGCAAATCAGTATGTCACTGCACTTTGGCCTTATTTGTCCTAATTACCTTAGGCTAATTCACAGTGTCTTGCTTTAAATGGTTTCCAAATGAAGCCGGGAGGAATCTTGTGGCGCTAACAATATGCTCGCGATAGAGGATCCGTGGTGAATTACCTCACTGCCTGCTGCTTCAGATTGCTGCTGCGAGATAAAACTGCTCCTTAATTGCTGGTTTAGGATCAGCTTCTCGTACACAAACTCAAATCTAATATGTGCTATAAGTGGCTTTCTAAACTACTGAATTAGACAGTTTTCCCCTCCAAAAACATGACGTTTTTTTGCAGCTATAGAAGAGCAATAAAGAACCAATAAAGAATCTTTATTTTTAAGAGTGTTGAAAAGATATTACGATTTATTTAATTGGAAAGGTTCCACACTTATAAAAATAAAGGTTCTTTATTGGCATCAATGGTTCTATGAAGAACCTTTAACATCCATGGAACCTTTTCATTGCACAAATGGTTCATTATAATGGAAAAAGATTCTTTAGATTATGAAATGTTCTTCACACTAAGAAAAAAAATTGATCTTTTAAGAACTGTTCGCTGAAAGGGTCTTTGGGAAACCAAAGATGCCAATAAAGAAGATTATCTTTATATTTCAATGTAAATCATAACCTATCCCAAACGACGCTATTTGAAAAGCAGAAAATATGCATCATCACCAGCCTTGTTGCTAACTGCACAGATTCACATCTGCTCATTTGTGAGCCAGTCCTGGTGTAACGTATAAGAGATGTTGCTGGCAATGCCATTGAAAGCTAATGACTAGCCTAGAGTATCTGCTCGTTTTGAAGTCATAATTAGGCTGTGAATGTGATGGAGGCTGATCCCACTTGGAGGTGCTGGCATGCTAGTGTCCACACAGCTCGCTTTCTCTACAGCTCACAGAGCCAGACGTCCTGCCTTGCCCTCGCTATGCCAAAGGACAGATTGTGGAAAGTGACGACAGATGCCTCTCAGTAAGTGCGTGATAGAGTTAGAGCGTTTACACAAGAGAAAGACTGTGTTACACTTGTGTATATGGTCAGAATAGTAATTCTGAATAGTAAAACCGCACTTCGATTCGTTCAGAAACAATGCTTCTTTCAGGAGCTAAATACTGATACTTTGTGTTTGATCGGACACGCGCAGCAATCGGCCCTGCGTTGGATTTGTTTTGAACTGGCTTTGTAATTCTATGTGATGTTCAGAATGGAAAATTAGCTTACTACTTGCTGAATAAGTAATGAGTAGAAAAATGTTTCAAGAGTACGCTTCAATGGTGTCAAGTGAATGTCATCCAATTATCATGTTGGAAATAAATAAAATTACTTTGCATTTTTAAATTCATTTTGTGAAAAAAAGTACGACAGGTAGTAGGCTATTATACATTTCTGCATTAGTTGAGCATTAGACACCTCTTTTATAAAGAATTAATTGTATTTTGAATGATCAATAGAAAATATAAACATCTATTGTTTAGCATAGACTACTTACTCGTTGTGATTCAGTGGAGCAATTTGGTCCAAATAAACTGGGCACTGAATTGATCCATCTTTCAAGAGCAAGCGTTTTGTGAATCTCGCGTTGAACTCCCTGAGATTAGAGAAGCAGTTGTCAGTAAAATGACGGGAACACAAAAAAGATTGGGGTTGTACTGCTGTATCGTTGAAAAAAATGAATGTCAACCACTGATTCTTTGCAGCCTCATCATTCGGAAATGAAAATAAAACAAATTTACTTTCACAGAGTAGGACACAGCGTCTTCTCGACATGATAGATGCGTTCCAAATGACGCACTATACACTAGGCACACTGTGTACTTATGCACTATGTGCTCAACCATGTAGAGTATGAATTATATAAGGTTATTTTGTCATTCATAATCGGAGTCTGATAGCCCCACCCCCTTCGCTACGTAATTAAAGTTGCGACAGTTGAGTGCATGAACCCTGCGTTCCATTCGGAAGGGCTCATCCCTATACCCTAATCCCTTCAAAGAGTTTACCCTCCGGAGTGAGAGCTTCGAAGGGAAAAAGGGTGTAGGGGTTTTTTTTTGGAACGCACTTCTGCGTCATCTTAACGAGACAATCGAGGCAACTTCATCACACATTGTGTATGCTGGTTAACCCCCAAACGTCTTTTATGTTAAATAGAATGTATATTTGGATATGTATTGTAATGTAATATGTATTTGTAATGCATATTGTGTCTATGTATTTGAAGCATTTGAATGGACTGATAAAGGTAGCTGTAAAGTATTTTTGCTGAAGTACAAAACAACGTTTTGACCATAATAATGTACCAAATCTAACTCGTATAAATATTACTGAAAAATACTTTACATACATTTATACCATATACATTATACATAGACGCCAAACAACTTCCCTGTGCAAAGGATCATGGGAGCCCGAAGTGTCCATCAGTTGTCCCCTCCTAAATCCTTCATTCCATAGGGCCCATTGAAGTGGCCAGTTTTGAGCACTTCGGTTTGGAACGACCTTCCAGTATGGCGGCCATGATTGTTTTCACTCCGAAGTGCCCTTCGGAGGGCGATATATCCCGTTTGGAACGCACCATAAGTGTCCAACATTCCACACTTTGGCCCTTTCCCAAATGGCACATTGATTCAGATTGACAGTGATCAGTGATTCAGAGTCGATTCTTTATTTTGGAGACAATAACTTTATTTACCGGGCACTGTCGGCTTCACAACTTTGCAGAAAAACAATATTCTAAATGGAATAATAGGGGCACTTTAAAATATTTGTATACTTTTGCAAAAGTATTGTATTCCCCGAGAGACTTTGCGTTCACTTGCAATTATGAGTTACAGAACATTAAAAAAGATTAAGTGAATAAAAAGAAAGCAAGAGTGAATATATGATGAATGACAAAAAAACTGAATAATGAAAATGCACATGTTTCTAGGCCAAACAAGAGTTCAGCACAAGTGAATGCTGGTGAAGAGATTGTCCACTCAAATGTGGCTTAAAAGGGTCCTGAGCTGTATTGTATGGAAGAATCTCTTAAGGGCTGTTTCATTTTTTCTTGCCTTTAAAAAAAGAAGACATCTCAAATCCATTGTCTAAAACTTGGAGGCCTAGAATCCGTCCACCTCAGTTAAAACAATAGTTTAGCTATAGCATGATAAAAGTAGGGTACAGATTTGTCAATTTATATGAATCAGGAGTTATTCCGAAAATATCAGCAGACTGGAAAATGCTGTTAATTTTATTTGCTTATAGCCCATAATCGCTGACTGATGAAAAGGTCAATGCAAAGAAAAAAAACAACTTTTTAATATTCAGATCACATTGTGTCAGATAGAACAGCAATGATGTCATATCCTCAGGTGTTGAGCCTCTTTTCATCACAGGACATTAGTATTCCTGCAGCAGCGAGCAGTGATTGTGATCGCTGTCGGGGTATATCTGTTTGTCTCAATGAGAAAGTAGCACAGCGAAAGTGACTTCACCGAAGGAGAGCGGAGAAGGATGAAAATTCCATAAGGATCCTTGAGCGTGACTCTCAGCCACCCACACTGCCAGGCGTGGGAGGCAGAGGTAATTCTCCTGTGCCAGACATACGCAGAGAGCCGTGTTGATGGCAGTATTGCTACAGAACACCAAATACCACTGCGCTCCTTTTTTGGATGTTCCCTGTACTTATTATAGAGTTTTCAGAGATAATATGCCCCTTGGTGCGAGTATTATCTGGTTTCTTTTTGCTTGTAGTGCTTTGTGTTTTCATAACGCAGCTCTCGACTGAAGCGAAAACTGTAATGGTTTAGTAAAACTTACACTAATTTCCGGAGGGAAATAAGTATGTTTAATCAAAACCTAATGAGATTTTTTTTTTCAAGAATCTATTAAAGTATATTGTTCAATAAACGGCTCACTCACACACGAAGCTTTTCGAAACATTGAATCAATTGAACCAATTTGCCTCATAGTGATTCACTGTTTCGAAGCGCTCAGACAGAACAGTGTAAATGTAACTAAATCTCGGCACAAACATGCATAAAAAACACCCTTTACAAACCAATTGCAGATGTTTTATTGAAAATGTAATCTGTTAAATGCAATTCATCTAATACCATTAAATATGAAATATCTATAATAAGTGCTTTTTTTTAAATTATATGGCTTTGCTATGTTGATTCGTGTTTTATTATGGACCGGTTACAGTCGCTTCCTTTTTGCTTGCAAACTCTTTTCAGTTCGAGGTTCAGTTGTGGCTTCACTGCATATCAGCCTGACCTTCTTTCCTTTTTTTACGGATATGACGTAAACATGCACGGATGAATGATGAAATTATACAGTTTGCCGGGAAATCTGTCCGACAACTTTAAAATTTTAACAATTATTACAGGCTTACCACTTTTTGGAATCAAAAATACAGTGCGAAAAGACATGAGACGGTGAAAACATTGTAAAAACCGTGGGTCTTATTCACTAACAGTGCTTTCAAATGCATTCATATTTGTAACTGTTTTACACAGAAATCATCAATATGTTTGTGCTTATTCCAAATTATTTTATAAATTGAGCTACAATAAATGTGTAAAGAGAATGATTTTATATATATTATACTCTATAATATTGTTGAAATATTAACATGATAAAACAATATAATATTTCTGTAGCTTGAGCTAGGATTTGTTCAACATAGAAAATGCAACCGATCATGAGTAGTCTATGCCTATGTAAGGGGGTTTTGTGAATGACACGTTTAGCTTTAATCCGAAATCTTGTCCTGCATCTTTAGAAACATAGTGACTATCACTGTGTTCTATTCTGAAGGGCTCAACTCTATGCCCTAATCCCTTTGAAGGGTTTATACTCCAGTGTGTGGGCTTTAAAGGGATGAAGGGTGTAGGGAACCAGAACGCACATCTGCGTCATCTTCCCGAGCCAATTAAGGAGGGGCCATCTTTGCACAATTAAACCAGCGCAAAGATTCATAGGAGCTAAGTGTCCATCTGTTGTGCCCTTCAAATTCCAAAGGGCCCTTTGAAGTGCCCAGTTTCAAGCACTTTGAAACGACCCTTCAATATGGCCCTTCAGAGGCGGATTTATCTCATGCAGCATATCATGATTTATAAGCTATATTGCTATGGAGGCCCTTATATGGAGATGGTTTGGGCGTGTCTTATGCTAATCACTAACAACAAGCTTACACACCCTCATTTAGAATAAACTGAATATCAACATGATGGCTGAATTTTCTTTTTCCCTTTATTATCTGTCATTGTTTAATACTCCGCTGACTTTCACACGACACAAGCATAAATCATTATAAGCATTCCAGGACATATTGCCCATAGTTAATCTAAAAAGGCAATTTGGCAATGTATTCAGGCGTATCATACTGTTATAGGATTATTCAGACCAGCCTCAGCATTTGGTCAATATCCACATGACAAATATCATCTTCCTTCTGCAGCCTTAATTTACGCCTTTTTTCACCTCGGATGAACATTTCCGTTGATGTGCTGCTGGTCTGTTGAGGAGAACAAATTCTGGCCATGCCGATGTCGGATGGCTTCTGCGGGATAGATATTACTGTGTGTGTCACAATCTGTAATTACTCGTGGACAGGATCTGAATTGATCCGCTGGTTTAATTCCGAGGGCTGTGACCACCATGTCACTCGGGTGGGGTTCAATTCTATCTTTCAGAAATTCACTTGCTTTTGTCTAGACTCCATGCTCCAGTGAGAATGAAAAGGGCAGAGGATGAGTAAAACGAAAATCTGACTCACTAGTTTATTAAACCATTTTCTACAGATCCACAGGGGAAAATGAGGACAGAAGAGGAAGTAAAAGAGGAAGGGGAGGGGCTAATCTGAGTCCACTAAAAGAGCAGACAGATGCTCTAATCCCATTCACAAGGAATGATGACATTGATAAACTGTTAGCCTGTGGTGATCCTTTGAAATGAGGAGACAAATCCCTGTTTTGGATTGGGTTTTATTTATTCCAATGTTTCAATTCCATTTGGTGTTTTGGGATTAAAAGCATATGAAATACCATTTTACCTTATAATATGTGGTCTGCTACATCATTTTGAGTCGCTTGACCCATTTTAAATTGCGTGCACTAAAGTAAAAAGTGTCATCTTTCTGATTAATATGCTTCTACTTCAAACTGTTGCTGAGATGTTAACATTTCAATGTTGCTATAGACTTTTCTTTATATCACATATATCAACAAACACCATTTAATTTGGTTGCCTACTACTGGCTAAATGTTTCAACCTGTTGAACAGACTACAAATCGTCCTTACCCACATACTTCGATCAAAATCAAACCGTGTTTGCTAATTTAGACCAGAGGAGAACTGATCACCTGACTGAGCCTGGTTTCTTCCAAGGTTTTTTTCTCCTTATCTGTCACCTGATTGAGTTTGGGTTCCCTGCCACTGTTGCCTTTGGCTTGCTTGGGGTTTAAAAGACACTTAAAGGGATAGTTCATCCAAAAATGAAAATTTGATGTTTATCTGCTTACCCCCAGGGCATCCAAGATGTAGGTGACTTTGTTTCTTCAGTAGAACACAAATTATGATTTTTAAGTCCAACTGTTGCAGTCTAGTTGCAGTGCCAGAAACCGAACAGTATTTATATCATTTTTTACCTCTGATTCACCGCAATGTCCAACTTCCTTGAGCGCGCGCACGGCATCCGATGCGCTTGGTGTGTACGCGCTCTGGCGTAGTTTACGTTAATGGGTGTGTTGATATCCAGCCGAAGAGCAATCAACCATAACTTCAGGCGAGCAGGCTCAGAAGTTGGGAATACGTGGAAAGTCACCACTCCCTAATGAGTTCGTGCGAGAGAACGTAATCTTTTAGTTTGAAGTCAGTTTGAACAATCCAGATAAGCGCAAGTAAGTACCATTTTGATTACACCATCAGATGAGAACAAAACTTGAACTGAATTAAGCTGAATAATGTCACTATTGTCTTCTGTATCGCATCTTGCAACGTCAACACTGTTATCCAACTGAAATGAATCAACATTGAACTGACTCAAACTGAATAATGTCATTGCTGGCTTCTGTAGAACTGCTCATATCTGAATTGAACTTGTTTTAAAATAGATTAACGGGGTCATATGACGTTGCTAAAAAGAACATTATGTTGTGTATTTGGTATAATGCAATGTGTTTATGCGGTTTAAGGTTAAAAAACACATTATTTTCCACACAAAAACATTAAAACCCATTACAAACGAGGCATTTGTTGCATCCAGTGGGGACATAATTACTGATTATAATGACTTATACTGTCTTTTTACGCGCTGCGTTGCGTTGCGTATCGCGCCACGTAAACAGAAAACCACGTCTGCATTTGTGATCGGAGAAACGACAAACAACAAGTGCTACTCTACACTGCTCAGAACTCACGTTTGATCGTCAGTGGCAAATTCTTTAAATATAAAAAACGTGCTTACAGGCTGTGAGTCAGAAGTGCCAGACTGTCCTTGCAAAGTTGGAACTGCCCCACTTTATAGAAACAGCCTTTGTGCCACAGACCCATTGTAGTCTACTCTTCCAGGATCACAGTCCTCCATAAAACATTCCTCCATAAAATGCGCTGCACACATCTGAATATTTGGCCGGCGTTATGTAAATCTTCCCACACAGTGACGTAGACATGTGGGGGCGTGTTTAAACGAGGCGTTTTAGGAGGGCGTGGACAAGTCTTAACATTTATAAAGAATATCTATTTGGGTTTGAGACTTGATCTTATCTATGCACGAACAGCTTGTAAAACTCCAAAGAGAAAGGAAAATTTGAAATTGCATCATATGACCCCTTTAACTTTTTTTAGAGCTGCTTTACAGCAGAATCTGAATTGTCGCAATAGTGTAGTTTCCATATCTGATTCTGCTATTTTTCTGTTTATTACTGTGTAGCAGCACTCATCTTTTTTTTGAGAATTAGTCAACAAATCCTCAAACACAGCAAATTAAATGATGTGTTTAATTTAACCTAACTGAGTGGTCACTAAAATCTGGTTCAAGGTCATTTAGTCTGAGTGAGTTGTTTACTCTGTAATTATACTAAGTCCTCCTGGGAAGTTTCTACTTATGAGTTTGGAAATCATAATTACAATGTTAGAATGAAATGGACTCATTGGACAATTTCATATTTTTTTACTGGCAAAAACAAGGAGCGTTTTAGTGCTAGTGCAGTGTAATGAAGAGCAAAGAATACACATTGGATGTGTAGTTGATGCTAGATCCGTGTATTTTTTCTTTCTTGTGCTGCCACAGAGAATTATGGGAAATGGAGTTTGGTCATATAAAATATTCTTCATGTACATAAAATGTGTACAAACTAAAAAAACAATTTTTTTGAGGATGCACTGTTTCCCTTCCCTCCTCCAGAGAAAATGCGTGAAGGCTTGTTTCTGCCATATAATTTTTATCTTGCAATTTTTATTTTTTTTTTTATTTTAACTTTTACAATAGCTTACAATTCTGGCTTTTTTCTCATATAAACTCAAAATTGTGAGATATAAACGCAGAACTGACAGATTTAGTGTGTCAACAAAAGTTGCTATATATATATTGCAGTTCAGATTTTTTTTTTTTCAAAATTGTGATGTATATCTGATTATATTTATATCTATTTTTTTATTCCGTGGCGTAAACAAACTTTCATAAAAATTCTCCAATGATCTATGTGAATTTAGCAAACTGAAGTTATGAACTTTATTCTGTGAATTCACTCTGCTAGTTTGGTTTCTCACAAAATTAAAATTAATAGTTTGCATTCAAACTCTTCTGACCATGTCAAAATTAAAAATGTATCCTAACCACCAGCTGCATAGTGGCTTCTCGGTCTGCAGCACTCTCCTTCAATCATAAACCTACCCATCTCATAGCACTTTTCAGGCCTGATTTCTTTGATATCAGCCACTTGCAATCTCTTCTCTTCCTTGACGTTATGTTCTTTGCTACCTTGTCTGTTAAAAATAGCATACGCATCAATTATGCATTGTGTATGCTAGCATCTCTCCATTACATCCATCAGTTTGTTGCTTTCGGGCTTTTATCTGTGGCATCTTCTGATA